GCCAGTCATGTTCTTCCACACCGATCTCGACAAAACATTTCTGTTGGGACCTCGCTTTGTGTATGGGGGCATTGTCATGCTGAAACAGGAAAGGGCCTTCCCCAAACTGTTGCCGCAAAGTTGGAAGCACAGAATTGTCTAGAATGTCATTGAATGCTATAGCGTTAGGATTTCCCTTCACTGGAACTAAGATGCCTAGCCCGAACCATGAAAAACAGCCCCAGACCATTATTCCTCCTCCACCTAACTACGCATTGGGGCAGGTACCGTTCTCCTGGCATCCACCAAACCCAGTTTCGCCTGTCGGACTGCCAGATGGTGAAGCGTGATTCATCACTCCAGAGAACGTGTTTCCACTGCTCCAGAGTCCAATGGCGGTGAGCTTTACACCACTACAGCCGACGCTTGGCCTTGCGCATGGTGATCTAAGGCTTGTGTGTGGCTGCTCGCCCATGGAAACCCATTTCATTAAGCTCCCGATGAACAGTTGTGCTGACGTTGCTTCCAGAGGCAGTTTGGAACTCTGTAGTGAGTGTTGCAACCGAGGACAGACCATTTTTACGCGTTACGCACTTCAGCGGTCCCGTTCTGTGAGCTTGTGTGGCCTACTACTTTGCGGCTGAGCCGTTGTTGCTGCTAGACATTTCCACTTCACAATAACAGCACTTACAGTTGACCGAGGCAGCTCTAGCAGGGCCGAAATTTGACGAACTGACTTGTTGGAAAGGTGGCATCCTATGACGGTGCCATGTTGAAAGTCACTGAGCTGATTTTATACACCTGTCAGCAACAGGTGTGGCTGAAATGGCCAAATCCACTAATTTAAAGGGGTGCCCACATACTGTTGTATATATAGTGTTTATTGGTAATATGCCACAGCTAAGGGCTGTTCTTATGCACAACACAACGTGGAGTGCCTAGATACAGCCCTTAGCTGTGGTATATTGTCCATATACCTGATAGATTAATTATTAATGACTAATTATTACACCCTGAAACTGTGTATAATGTGTTAGAAATGTGTGAGTGTAGGACCAGTAAAGACTCAGCAATGTGAGTAAGAGTTAGGCCAGACAAAGGACAAGGAGAACTGTCTACAGACAACTGAGAAACCAAGATAAAGAGGCCTCCCAATTTAGGGAGGGGAGAAACTGTTATGAAAACATGGTGCAGAATATTGTGAGAACGGCAATAACTGAGGAATGCAGAGAGTAGGCTATGATAAGAAAGTGTGTATGTATGAGTGTGTGTATGCATGTGTGTGTGTGTATGTATGTGTGTGTATGCATGTGAGTATATCTGTGTGTGTGTGTGAACTGATGGTCAGGAGAGCAGTTTTAGAGTGGAAAACTACAGCCCGCCTACAGAGGGGAGGGATTTTTTTGTATGATGTATGAGTATAAAAGATGGACTCTGAAATTGTGATGGCAGAATTCTCAATGAATAAATATCTCTGACTATGCAGACCGGGACTCTGTCCGTTACTTAAATCCCAAAAGACTTACAACCTTTTGGGAGACGCACAGAGACACTGAAATTGTTTGTTAAATAATTCACATAACAATACCATAAACCATCGAGGTGACTTACTGCCATTATAAACTGGTTACCAATGTAATTAGAACAGTAAAAAGTCATTTTTGGTCTTACCCGTGGTGTACGTTCTGATATACCACGGCTTTCAGCCAATCAGCATTCAGGGCTTGAACCACCCGGCTTATAATGTAGAATACACTACACTGTCGTATCATCATCATCATGTGTAGTACTTACTATAGAATGTTGTAGTATACTGTAGAATACTATAGAAAATACAGTATTATCTGCAAAAAAACACTAGTAAATACTACAGTAATGTCCACAAAAACAATACAGTATTTAATGTGCATAAACACTCAATCCATTCCCCTCCCCAATATCCCAATGTGTGCCACCCATGACTGAGAAACTTACATGCCAAGTATAGACCATATATTGTGTTCCCTACAAGTTATAGAAAAGAGCAGAAGCTCTGAACTACCCATTCAGATTCCAGTCCTACCTACAGGTTTTGGAAAATTTGCTATTTTAGCATTTGTCCTGTAGGTTTCCTCAAAGAGAAAGCACCCACATGTCCAAGATAAAACAAAAACACTACAGTAATGTCCACAAACACACTATAGTATACTACAGTCATGTCCTCAAAAACACTACCATACTACAGTAAAGTCAGCAAAAAACTACAGTGAATACTATAGTATATAAATATACTAACCTCAGTATTTTTACCAAAGTATACTACATAAAAAAAATTATGTGGGACCCCATGGCAAAACTGGTAGAATTACAGGAAATTAACTTTTAAAAAATAAAAATATTCTCTCCACCATCAAGAGGGGGGGGCACTAAAATGTTTTGCTTGCGAGATGGCCCCCCCCACCCAAACCTTGCTTAGGGCCTCCAAAAAGGCTAGAGCCAGCCCTGCCAAGAAAGGTCACTTTCCAGGACATCCAGTATTCTCAACTGGCCAGTATTCTCTACAGTATAGGTGGATGACTGTAAGTCGCTTTGGATAAAAGCGTCTGCTAAATGGCATATTATATTTATATTATATAAAATAATCAGTATGCAATTACATTTGACCATGTATCATAGGCGACCATAAGGGGGCTGGGAACTGTACTTCTGTCATCCCCTGCCTCCTAGAAATCAAAATCTCCAAATGCTATGTATGTTTGTACAAGAAAGATGATTGGATATGCAAAAAAAAAAAATATGTCATACATTCCACGCTTTGGCTAACACATGAAACATGAAACACTGCATGCATCACTGAAAAACTTACTGGGACTACTTTTCCATTTGCACTACCACAACAAAACACCAAGAGGAGACACGGTCCAAAGAAAATACATACTGGCAGGCTATAGGAATGAAAAGGAAGCATGTTTTAATAGTCTCTCATGGAATGCTGAAACACATCAACACCGTTATTTTATAGCTCAATGATCATGGGTTGAATTTTCTACAACGATATACTATTAAATTAAAATAAATTGTTCACAAATTGCTGGCATCAAGTATCCGCACTCTTTTTCAAAGTTCTTTCACTTACCATCTTAAATATTGTATTCAATCTTTAGCCTGACTGCACTTGCATTTGAAACCCACACCCAAAGACCTTATAAATATTATACTCAAATCATTGTGAATAATTTTGTACCTCAAATGCAACCCTTCGGACATGTCTATAGAAATAGAAGCCAGTGTTTGAGAGCAAGCTACAGTCTGTTGATGCAGGGCAAGTGTTGGGAAGAGCAAGGTAGAAGACTCCTATAAAATACTATAATGGCAATATAAACGCTTGCTTTGTGGTGGCTTACGCTTATGAAAAAATAAATATATTTATATTACATACTGATGCTATCACAGGGCAGAACAGGCTCGTGGTAATGACTGGAGTGGAATCAGTGGAATGGTATAAAATACATTGTCATTCCATTCACTCTGTTCCGGCCATTATTATGAGCCATCCTCCCCTCAGCAGCCTCCCCTGGATGCTATATGTCACATGAATAACTTTACCCACTTCATATTTTACCATACCAAACGTATAACATTCCAAGGAACAATTATCTTTGGGAGAATTAATATCAGTGACAAAATCAAGTGGGCATAAACAAAACTAAAATAAAAAAAGGGACATCGTAATTCACACAAACTAGAATGACATTGTTTTCAGCCACCAATGGAATTGGTTTCCCAGAAAGCCATGTGTTGTGAGCTACTAAGTTCACAGCAGACATACAAGTAGGAATTAATGCAAGGAAGTAGCGCTTCATGAAAATTGGTCTTTAGGGTGCGTTGAGCATCATGAGCAATCAGATGGACTGTGTTTAAAAGTTGCTCTTTCTTTGTGATGAAATCAGGGCTTTGACTATAAAGAAAACATGGGCAACACCATAAGGTGACTTAATCAATAATTTCATATATTGAAAACCACAAATTTCAAGTCCTTAAAATAACCTTGAATCCAATGTATATGGGCATGAATATTTATTGATATAAAAAAGACATAGTTTAACCACAAATGCTATTCCTGCCTTCTCCATCTCATTTGATTGGTGGTTGGAAAGTTTTACTTTCAGCAGGAATGATCAGCTGATGGAACTACCTATCGACATAAAACCGAGCAGTAACTAAAATAAATAAAACAGACGGCAAACAATAACATAAAATAGGTAGAGGTGATGCAGGTGCGACATGGCGTCCATTTTGGGTCTCTCCCAGTTCCAGCAGCAAGTTACAAGGATACCAGTTGCACTGCTAATAGTCTGACACGGCATACAAAGCCCCTGCAGACTCAAGCCGAAGAGTTCTTCAATTAATACAATGACGGTACACTGTAGGCTTTCAATCATCAACGCGAGGGGAAAAAAGGACTGATAACAAAAATAAAAAGAATTAAGCACACTTGATCTATTATGAGTGACACAATTTAGAGAAGGGTCCTAGCGTGATAAGAACAGGTCTGGCCTATAGGGAGCGAGGCACAGTTGTTCAATACGAGATGATTAACGAGTAGTCACATCTAATACAAGGCCACAGTTAATGGACTTGACCTCACCTGACCCCTTCGATGGGAATGTATCGGACATTACCTTTACACTTAACATAGATTTACATTGTCTTCTTATCTTTGTCGTCCACAGACTCACTTACAGGGGGGATAATACTTGACTGGACTGAAGCTGTGGAAATATCCCCAGCAGATAATGGTAGGAAATGTCATGTTTGAGCCAGAATGGATGAGGCAGCAAGAACCAAAATGGAGAATATGGAAAACAGACAGGGGCTGAAATGAGTCAGACTCTCAATTCACATTGTCTCCAGAGGAAGAGGGAGAGAGAGAGCCATAGCAAACTCCAACCTCTCCACTCACTACTCAACCAGTCCCACATCTCCTACTAGCACACATCCCCTATCCTGCCCTTTCATTTCCTCTACTCTCCCCTCTTCTCTTAGGCGTTGATTGCCCTCCAGCAGTCGCTGTTGATGCTGCCTGCCCCGAAAGGACCAGAGGCCACGTCGTCCAGGTAGGCAGCTATGCCGGTGCCCATGGACACGGCAGTCAGGCCGTCTATCTGGGTGCTGGAGTAGAAGGAGCCCTGTTCCAGCTGCTCCTTGCGGCCCAGGCCTGAGGCGGGGGGCAGGTGGACATCCGTCTGGTCGTCCGGCTCGTCCACCTGGCACTTGTAGGAGAAGAGGACCTTGGGCTCCGAGCTGGAGGAAGGAGGAGAGAAGGATTAAGAGAGATGGTAGAGAGAGAGAGAGATGGTAGAAAGAGAGAGATGGTAGAAAGAGAGAGGGGCAAGGAGAGAAAATGAGAGTGAGAAAGAGAAAAGACAGGAGAGAGAATGTATCGCAGTAAAAAGCAACCAAACATGAATCATGCAGTCGGGAACATTGCCTGTGTCCTCCATCCTTCTTTCCTCAATTCATCTCAAAGCTCATTGGCGCAGAGGATCTAAGATCCCTCCTTTGAACCCCTCCTCCAATGAGCCTTGAGAGGAATTGAGAGGGGGGAAAAAGGACAGAGGAAGCAAGGATATGACATCAAGTAACATTTTCAGACAAAGCCATAGTTTTTGGCCTTTGACCTACGTACCCGAAGAAGCCTTTGAGGAAGGTGACATAGATGAGTGGGGCGAACACAGAGAAGTAGAGGAAGGTGGTGACGTCCACACAGCTGTTCCAATCACACAGAAACACATCAGACTTTAAAAGGGAACTGACTGTTAATTATTTATTTTTCTTTAACCAGGTAAGCCAGTTGAGAACAAGTTCTCATTTACAACTGCGACCTGGCCAAGATAAAGCATAGTAGTGCGATAAAAACAACAACACAGAGTTACATATGGGGTAAAAAAACATAAAGTCAAAAAATAAAACAGAAAATATATATACAGTGTGTGCAAATGTAGCAAGTTATGGAGGTAAGGCAATAAATAGGCTATAGTGCAAAATAATTACAATTAGTATTAACACTGGAATGCTAGATGTGCAAGAGATTATGTGCAAATAGAGATACTGGGGTGCAAAAGAGCAAAATAAATAACAATATAGGGATGAGGTAGTTGGGTGGGCTAATTTCAGATGGGCTGTGTACAGGTGCAGTGATCGGTAAGGTGCTCTGACAACTGATGCTTAAAGTTAGTGAGGGAGATAAGAGTCTCCAGCTTCAGAGATTTTTGCAATTCGTTCCAGTCATTGGCAGCAGAGAACTGGAAGGAATGGCGGCCAAAGGAGGTGTTGGCTTTGGGAATGACCAGTGAGATATACCTGCTGGAGCGCAGACTACGGGTGGGTGCTGCTATGGTGACCAATGAGCTAAGTTAAGGCGGGGATTTGCCTAGCAGTGATTTATAGATGGCCTGGAGCCAGTGGGTTTGACGACGAACATGTAGTGAGGACCAGCCAACAAGAGCGTACAGGTCACAGTGGTGGGTAGTGTATGGGGCTTTGGAGACAAAACGGATGGCACTGTGATAGACTACATCCAATTTGCTGAGTAGAGTGTTGGAGGCTATTTTGTAAATGACATCGCCGAAGTCAAGGATCGGTAGGATAGTCAGTTTTACGAGGGCATGTTTGGCAGCATGAGTGAAGGAGGCTTTGTTGCGAAATAGGAAGCCGATTCTAGATTTAACTTTGGATTGGAGATTCTTAATGTGAGTCTGGAAGGAGAGTTTACAGTCTAACCAGACACCTAGGTATTTGTAGTTGTCCACATACTCTAGGTCAGACCCGTCGAGAGTGGTGATTCTAGTCGGGTGGGCGGGTGCCAGCAGCGTTCGATTGAAGAGCATGCATTTAGTTTTACTAGTGTTTAAGAGCAGTTGGAGGCTACTGAAGGACCCTAGGCGGCAGCAGTGACTAAAGAGCTCCATAGGCCGGCACCAGAATAACACTAGGCTTCAGTTAGGCTACACAGAAAACATCAGAACATGGACACTCCCAACACAAGCTGCTCTGCTTTGAGAGGAAAGTGAATTTCAGATATGTCCGAAGGAATAATACAAAAAAGATTGGACATTTTTACTTAGTCCCTCAGCTATAAGGTCTATGTAACACTGTCATAACATTAGGTCAGCAGATAAAAACCTTGATAAATCCATTGCTTTGCAGTTAGGCTACAGTTGATTGATTAAACACAGACCTAGAAGAAACAGGGGACTACGCGCTGCGATCAATGCTCCCAAGTGCGATTGATAGGAATGTTTTCAACCGTGTTTTGATCTTCATTAGGATTGCTTAACATATTCTTGAATCTCCAACACGTACAAAGCCAATGGAATGTTTTCTATCTTTTTTTCTACACACAGAAGCAGCCACTCACCAGATCCCCTCTATGATGCCGGCACACAGCAGGGCACTGCCCAGCCCCTGGACCAGGTTGAGCAGGGACAGAATGGCAGCGTACACATAGAAACTCTTCTTAGCTGTGGAGGGAGAGGACCAAGATGAAACAAGGAGTATGCAGGTTAAGAATGGCACCGGAGGAGATGGCTGCCGTTTTACAGGCTCCTAACAAACTGTGCTATTTTGTGTGTTTTTTCACGTTGTTTGTAATTTCTTTTGTACATAATGTTTCTGCCACCGTCTCTTATGCCCGAAAAGAGCTTCTGGATATCAGAACAGCGATTACTCACATCGAACTAGACAAAGATGTTTTATTTAACAAGTCGGATGCAAAGGATTTACTCAAGATACCTGACCAGGCCAAAATCCCCGTCATTCGCATGAAGAGAAGACGCAGATACAGGGGACGCAGGTCAGCGAGTGGGTAACCCACCTCTACCATCCATCCCAAGAACAACAAGGTAACCTGCCTAAATGACTACCGACCCATAGCACTCACGTCTGTAGCCATGAAGTGCTTTGAAAGGCTGGTCATGGCTCACAACACCATCATCCTAGAAACCTTAGACCCACTCCAATTTGCATACCGCCCCAACAGATCCTCAGATGACACAATCTCTATTACACTCCACACTGCCCTTTCCCACCTGGACAAAAGGAACACCTACGTGAGAATGCTGTTCACTGACTACAGCTCAGCGTTCAACACCATAGTGCCCTCAAAGCTCATCACTAAGCTAAGGACCCTGGGACTAAACACCTCCCTCTGCATCTGGATCCTGGACTTCCTGACGGGCCGCCCCAAGGTGGTAAGGGTAGGCAACAACATATCTGCCACGCTGATCCTCAACACAGGGGCCCCTCAGGGGTGTGTGCTTAGCCCCTTCCTGTACTCCCTGTTCACCCACGACTGCGTGGCCAAGCACGACTCCAACACCATCATTAAGTTTGCCGACGACACAGCGGTGGTAGGCCTGATCACCGACAACGATGAGACAGCCGATAGGGAGGAGGTCAGAGACCTGGCAGTGTGGTGCCAGGACAACAGCCCCTCCCTCAACGTGATCAAGACAAAGGAGATGATCGTGGACTACAGCAAAAGGAGTGCCGAGCACGCCCCCATTCTCATCGACGGGGCTGTAGTGGAGCAGGTTGAGAGCTTCAAGTTCCTTGGTGTCCACATCACCAACAAACTATCATGGTCCAAACACACCAAGACAGTCGTGAAGAGGGCACGACAACGCCTATTCCCCCTCAGGAGACTGAAAAGATTTGGCATGGGTCCTCAGATCCTCCAAATGTTCTACAGCTGCACCATCAAGAGCATCCTGACTGGTTGCATCACCGCCTGGTTTGGCAACTGCTCGGCCTCCGACCGCAAGGCGCTATAGAGGGTAGTGCGTATGGCCCAGTACATCACTGGGGCCAAGCTCCAAAAGGCTTCTTAACAGCTTCTACCCCCAAGACATAAGACTGCAGAACAGCTAATCAAATGGCTACCCAGACTATTTGCATTGACCCCCTCCCCCTTTTTTTACCCTGCTGCTACTCACTGTTTATTATCTATGCATAGTCACTTTACCCCTACCTACATGTACAAATTACCTCAATTATCTTGACTAACCTGTACATTGACTCGGTACCCCCTGTATTTAGCCTCGTTATTGTTATTTTGTTGCTCTTTAATTTTTTACTTTAGCTAATTTTGTACATATTTTTCTTAACTCTTATTTTTCTTAAAACTGCATTGTTGGTAAGGGCTTGTAAGTAAGCATTTCACGGTAAGGTCTACACCTGTTGTATTTGACGCATGTGACAAATACAATTTAATTTGACCTCTGCAGCTATAGTATCTACTGCTGCTGAACTATGAAAGACCACTCCTAAAAACATTTGTCTCTGGGAGGCTAAACAATCAATTTAAAAAATCTGAATGTGAATAGATTTTTAGATTAATTCTCAATGACAACATTCTAGAACTGAGTTATCACTCATCTAAGTCTGGAATCCAGGGTTATCTGGTTAATGATTATACAATGTTGATTATGTGGTTCTTTCCTTGTAGAATGTTGACAGCTGTATAGAACACAAGGCCACTCTCCAGCTAATCATTAACATGAGGGATAGTAAAAAAAACTAACTGTGGTAGATGAGGAAAGGACCCTGAAAAAAGCCCTCTGACATCAGTACACTACATTGCCAAAAGTATGTGGATACCCCTTCAAATTAGTGGATTTGGCTATTTCAGCCACACCCGTTACTGACAGGTGTATAAAATCGAGCACACAGCCATGCAATCTCCATAGACAAATATTGGCAGTAGAATGGCCTTACTGGAGAGCTCAGTGACTTTCAACGTGGCACCGTCATAGGATGCCACCTTTCCAACAAGTCAGTTCGTCAAATGTCTGCCTTGCTAGAGCTGCCCCGGTCAACTGTAAGTGCTGTTATTGTGAAGTGGAAAAGGAGTGGTAGGCCACACAAGCTCACAGAATGGGACCGCCAAGTGCTGAAGCTCGTTGCGCGTAAAAATCGTCTGTCTTCAGTTGCAACACTCACTACCGAGTTCCAAACTGCCTCTGGAAGCAACGTCAGCACAATAACTGTTTGCCGGGAGCTTCATGAAATGGGTTTCCATGGCCGAGCAGTCACACAAGCCTAAGATCACCATGTGCAATGCCAAGCATCGGCTGGAGTGGTGTAAAGCTCGCCGCCATTGGACTCTGGAGCAGTGGAAACGCGTTCTCTGGAGTAATTAATCACTCTTCACCACCTGGCAGTCCCGATTAACAAATCTGGGTTTGGCAGATGCCAAGAGAACACTACTTGCCCCAATGCATAGTGCTAACTGTAAAGTTTGGTGGAAGAAGGAATAATGGTCTGGGGCTGTTTTTCATGGTTCGGGCTAGGCCCCTTAGTTCCAGTGAAGGGAAATCTTAATGCTAGAGCATACAATTACATTCTAGACAATTCTGTGCTTCCAACTTTGTGGCAACAGTTTGGGGAAAGCCCTTCCAGTTCCAGCATGACAATGCCCCCGTGCACAAAGCGAGGTCCCTACAGAAATGGTTTGTCGAGATCGGTGTGGAAGAACTTGACTGGCCTGCAGAGAGCCCTGACCTAAACCCCATCGAACACCTTTGGGATGAATTGGAACGCCAACTGCGAGCCAGGCCTAATCGCCCAACATCAGTGCCCAACCTCACTAATGATCTTGTGGCTGAATGGAAGCAAGTCCCCGCAGCAATGTTCCAACATCTAGTTGAAAGCTTTCCCAGAAGAGTGAAGGCTGTTGTAGCAGCAAAGGGGGGACCAACGCCATATTAATGCCTATGACTCACAAGGCAGGGATATCCTCTCCCTCACTGGGGTTTTGGGAAGGATGACAACCAAAGAGTAGCCCTGGAAGGAAAAGGACCAGTATTAACCTTTTTTATTCTCAAACAGTTTATTCAATTAGTGCTTTTTTGTTTACAATGGTTGATCCATTGGTACTTATTTTCATTCCAATCTAAACTATGAGATGGTTAAATTGCATGTCCAAATGTGTGGGACACACATATTCAATTCTACTCTTTCTCAAAACATACGAGTGATTAAAAACCTCTCATATGATAACTTTATATTTTATACAATTACATTAATAAGATTGTAAAAAATTTAAAGCACTGCATTTGCTTTGCAGCCATTGGCCGCTCACCAGGAAGAAGAAGGAGGAGCTGGCCAACCAAAACTGCCGTCCTCCGTGGCCATAGATGTTGAAGTCCTCGGCAGACAGGTGCTCGTCAGGGTACAGGATCTCCAGAGTGCCCTGAGGGGGGAAGGGGAATAGGCCTGGTTAAGAGAAAACGAGGTATCTGTGGAGCTGTGATTGGTTGAGCTGGTTGGGGCATGGTGCTTCTAACACCAGGGTCTTGCTCTGTAGGGCACAACATAGTAAAATGTAAAACATAGTCAAACTAAAATCAGCATTCAGGACTCTAGTCTTACCTGTGTGATTGAGTAGCCCAGTGCCAGTACAGCAGTTATAGCCAGCACACGCTTTATACTGGACTGACTCTCAAGGTGGCCTGTCAACAGAGGAAACGCTTAGAAGGGGCTTAGACGTCATGCATTCAACAGCACCACTAAGGAGTTGAAAGTGTCGGTCTTTAATAATGGGAACGAACACAAAATAAATGTCATATGACAATGATTCCACCATGCCAATTAAAATAAAAACAGTAGAATTTTTAATGCTGTAGTAATAATCAGGGATGTGATTTTTCCTGATTAAACAATAATACATAAAACAAATCTGTTGTCCTGCTCACACCCCTGGCTATGCTAACAGGTGCATACAGCTTTACTGTTTACACTGTCTATAAAGACCCTAATCCCACCCTCCTCTAGGAACACATTAAGTTTAAACAACTCATATATCCACCTCGGTTTATACAGTGCATGACTATATGAGTACATGTGTGACTGTAGTCATACCAGTTGAGGTGACCAAGTGAGACCGGCCGACAGGAAATTGTCTTGTTTTAGGTTTGCAGATCATTACAAATTTTGACTGTACATTGCAAATTAGTTTAACTAATGTGCTGTTTTTTTACTACCCCGTCCTGACACACACATCAGTAATGTACTTCTCCATATTGTCCTAACAAATTCAGCATGTGCTTGGTAGCGTTTGTTTTCAAATCCTGTGTAGCTCAGTTGGTAGAGCATGGTGTTGTGGGTTCGATTCCCACGGGGGGCCAGTATGAAAAAATTTATGCACTCCCTAACTGTAAGTCGCTCTGGATAAGAGTGTCTGCTAAATGACTAAAATGTAAAATGTAAATCCTTTACAATTAGCATGGGTGCCAGTCTGTTTCTGCTATCAAGGGGTTGACATGATAGCACAAGCAGATTCTGGGATCAGGCTACTGCATAATGGCTTTGAGTTACAGGAGATGGCGTTATGAATCAAAATACTGTGGTGGTTATTAGAAGACCTACCGAAAGCCAGTCCCAGGATAATCACACTGAGCTCAATGGCCAGCAGAAAGAAACGGGTGATCTCCCACAGCACCTAAAGGAGAAACAACATTATTATCTATGCATAGTCACTTTACCCCTACCATATGTACAAATTACCTTGACTATCCTGTACCCCACACATTGACTCTGTACCGGTACCCCCTGTATATAGCCTCGTTATTGTTATGTCATTTTATTGTGTTACTTTTTATTTTTTACTGTATTTCTTGAACTGCATTGTTGGTTAAAGGCTTGTAAGTAAGTATTTCACTGTAAGGTCTACACCTGTTGTATTCGGCGCATGTGACATAACATTTGATTTGACATTGAGAAGAGGTAAATGTCAGTAGTCTCAAAAAGCCTCTGCTCCTCTTCACCTTTCCTTCATCTGCACTTCTCTTTCACTTATCCGCTCTTCTCAGATCAGTGTCATTTTTACATTTTATATATGCACTTTTCTGCACCATGCACTTTTTGGGCATCTTGAGGTCCTAATAAATTATTTTTATTTTTGCATTTTAGCCTCTGTTTTGGATTTATCCACATTCTCAAAAGTGTGCAGGTCGGCAGGTAGCCTAGCGGGTAGGAGCGTTGAAACAGTAACTGAAAGGTTGCTGGATCGAATCCCCGAGCTGACAAGGTAAAAATCTGTCATTCTGCCCCTGAGCAAGGCAGTTAACCCACTGTTCCCCGGGCGCCGAAGACGTGGATGTCTGATTTAGACGGTTGGGTTAAATGCGGAAGACACATTTCAGTTGAATGTATTCAGTTGTACAACTGACTAGGTATCCCCCTTTTCCTTCTATCCTTTCTATCACAGCAACCTATAAAATACGTTTTACCCCAGGACACTTTACAAGATGACTATCTCAGAAAATAAAGAAGCACTCAGATATCTGCCGTGTTTGTCCTGATCATGCTCTCTTTGTGTTTTCAGATAATCATCTTGTGAAGTGTCCTGGGTTATTATGCTTTTCTGGATTCCTAAGTCCCCCAGGGTACCCCTTTTCCCTTTTTACGCAAGATGGGCTGAAGCTGGGGACACTCTCTCATTCACTAATGATCTACCGCCATATAACATTCATCTGGGTGTAGTGCATTACAAATCCAAAGTATTTTTGCATCTACAAGGGCTGTTGCAAAGAGCCTTGAGCTGTTATGAATGATGATAAGTCTATAACACACTACAAGTGGGATAGAAGGCACTGTAAATACCATGAGCACAGGTGGTTCATAGTGTGTCACCATTTATGACCCACATGTGGCCTTACCTTGTCAATGATGGTGGCAGCACTGGATGCACTGACCGTCATGGACACTATGGCACGGGTGATTCCCACCGCTGCCACCACAAACACCTGGGAGGACAAGGGTCAGACATCCATTAAAAGAGGGGTTGTGGGCAGGGGGGGGGGGGCCAACAGGTTCGTCCGTATCCATATCTGTCAGTCTCATTGTGTTCATGTCTGTGTAGGGTAGAAAACCAATTTCTCAAGAGCCATGTTTGAGATAGCAATTACCATCTGATATTGTGAAACGAATCAATATGAATCCAGTTAACCCGCTATGTTATTACTTTATTTTTGCTAAATTCTATATTTAGCATTTCAAGCATGTCAGAGAGCTGTCAAACTACAGGTAATTAGCCTTAAAAAATTAGCAAGAGCCTACTTTTTGTGTGTATACACTGCTCATCTGCACAAGTCCTACTTCCAGAGCTTGGATATAAGTGGTTACCTACCAGAATGTAGAAGGTAATGAAGATGGGGCTGGAGGTGAGTGTGATTTTGGCCCTGGCTGAGGGCAGCTTCCACATCAAGAACATGAAGAAGACTACATTGGGAATGAGCAGCATGAGGTCCCAAAACCGCACTCTGATGGGGAGAGAGAAATAGACAACAGCACATGAGGAGGAGATGTGAAAATGTATTGGCAGCTTGTGCTGTGAAACCCTTGTTTTAGACCAATCCAAACCCTGTCACCTGCTGTGCATTTTACACTGAGTGTTCAAAACATTAGGAACACCGTCCTAATATTGAGTTGCACCCCTTTTTGCCCTTAGACAACCTCAATTTGTCGGGGCATGGACTCTACAAGGTGTCGAAAGTGTTCCACAGGGATGCTGGCCCATGTTGACAACAACTTTGGGTGGTGGACCATTCTTGATACACACAGGAAACTGTTGAGTGTGAAAAACCCAGCAGTGTTGCAGTTCTTGACACAAACCGGTGCGCCTGGCACCTACTACCATAACCCATTCTAAGGCAATTAAATATGTTTTCTTGCCCATTCACTCGCTGAATGGCACACATACGCAATCCATGTCTCAATTGTCTCAAGGCTTAACAGTCCATTAACCCGTCTCCTCCCCTTCATCTACACTGATTGAAGTATATTTGACAGGTGACATCAATAAGGGATCATAGCTTTCACCTGGATTTACTTGGTCAGTCTATGTCATGGAAACTCAGTGTAATGTTTTGTACACTCAGTGTATATGGTCGTTATTTCAAAAGAGTAAGTGCTGTTCTTCCTTCACTACACCAGTCTTTATAACCACATTAAATACAGAACAACAGTTCCAGCAATGTGAATGTCACACCTGAGATGACACCTCTTGTCTTAACATGTTTCAAATTGTAGCATTGAGGTAATGCAGTACGTTGAAAATATGTACAATTATAGTGACAGGAACAACACAGTCCTATCTGGCTTACCTTAACTCGCCAATGTCCTCGTATAGGACCTGCAGACATCTGTGAGGCTCTGGTCCCCAAGTTGGGGTTGCTGATGTGTTCTCCACTGAGGTAGTAGGCAATACGCTGCCATTGTATTGCGCAGACCTCACCACCGCAGTCACGGTGTCAAGCATAATGCATTCAAAGCCTAGTAGTAGGGGCAGATATGTGTTACAGGGGCTACAATTGCCACAATGGGTTATTGTTATTCAAGGACAATTAACAGCGGTTTTCTTGTTCCCCAACGTAGCTATATTTACATCTGCAGATAGATTGGGAAATTATTCAACAAGGGTTTCTTCGACACGCTTGCTGTGTCAGCTCTGTAGCCACAACGTTACGTTACTGGCTGTCTGTTCAAATGTGTATTTCTCCACGTCAGGAGGTAAACATTGAGTATCGGTGAATGGAACAGTGTCACGAAACTTACTGTTAGTTGGCTGACGTACAAAATCATTAAGCTAACGTTAGCTGGAACGCTTCTAACTAGATGTAACGCTAGCTAGTTTACTAAAATTAGCTAACTCCTAGTAGCTAGCTAAGTATAATGCTGACTGGCGCATCTAGTTACTAAACGCTAGCTATCTAACTTACACTACTAGTAACGTTAGCTAGGTAACTAGATAACGACGTTAAACTTAACAAATAAAATGCTCGCTAACGTAACGTTAGCAATCATCTTACCGTTTCAGTAGTCTCAAATTCAAGGGCAAGTTGTATATTCTGCAGGACAATAACTTTGGTAAACGCAACCTAGCTATCATACTGTTGTCTAATACTGTTTAATTAATAAATTATCCGAGCTATCTAGTCACCTGACAAACCACTTTCGTTTATTTTCTACATCGACCTGTGCGCAGGCGTAGCAGAGGGAGGTCTCTAACACCGATGGACATTGTGTGGGGGAGGGGCTGGTCCAACATAAAAAATATAGGCATTTACATTTACTTCATTTAGCAGACGCTCTTATCCAGAGCGACTTACAAATTGGTGCATTCACCCTATAGCCAGTGGGATAACCACTTTACAATATTTTTTTTTTTTGGGGGGGGGGGGGGGGGGGAGAAGGATCATAGGCCTAACATGAAACATATTTTCACATGACCCTCCCCTTGTACTGTAAAATAAACTGAACACCCTCCCCTCTCATAGAATTAACTCAAAATAATGTTTACCACCACAAATAACAATAACTGTAGCGACCATGTGTTTATAAACGTGGATATCGACTTTGCCACAAAAGCAAGTCGATGCCACACAGGGCTACAGGTCAGAAGGTTGAGGGTTTGCCGACCACCACAGACGAGCTCACTCTCCCTGCCTGTTCCATTACACTACAATGATCTGCTAGGTAGGAAATAAGATTTTCAACATTTTGATGCCATATTTATAATTATATAAAACACATTTTTCAAACAACAGGTTTCTGTGCCAATGCACCACACAACCAATAAACAAAGCATACCAACTTCGGACACTTCAATATCATGGTTTGAGTTTTCAACACGACAATAAACAGACTATGTCCATTTCGACAACCAGAAAATACATCCCTCCCTACCTTGTACAGTCGTGGTCAAAAGTTTTGAGAATGACACAAGTATTGGTCTTCACAAAGTTCGCTGCTTCAGTGTTATCAGATATTTTTGTCAGATGTTACTCTGGTATACTGAAGTATAATTACAAGCATTCCATGAGTGTCAAAGGCTTTTATTGACAATTACATGAAGTTTATGCAAAGAGTCAATATTTGCAGTGTTGACCCTTCTTTTTCAAGACCTCTGCAATCCGCCCTGGCATGCTGTCAATTAACTTCTGGGCCACATCCTGACTGATGGCAGCCAATTCTTGCGTAATCAATGCTTGGAGTTTGTCAGAATTTGTGGGTTTTTGTTTGTCCACCCGCCTCTTGAGGATCAACCACAAGTTCTCAATGGGATTAAGGTCTGGGGAGTTTCCTGGCCATCGACCCAAAATTTCGATGTTTTGTTCCCCGAGCCACTTAGTTATCACTTTTGCCTTTTGGCAAGGTGCTCCATCATGCTGGAAAAGGCATTGGTCGTCACCAAACTGTTCTTGGATGGTTGGGAGAAGTTGCTCTCGGAGGATGTGTTGGTACCATTCTTTATTCATGGCTGTGTTCTTAGGCAAAATTGTGAGTGAGCCCACTCCCTTGGCTGAGAAGCAACCCCACACATGAATGGTCTCAGGATGCTTAACTGTTGGCATGACACAGGACTGATGGTAGCACTCACCTTGTCTTCTCCGGACAAGGTGTTTTCCAGATGCCCCAAACAATCGGAAAGGGGATTCATCAGAGAAAATGACTTTACCCCAGTCCTCAGCAGTCCAATCCCTGTACCTTTTGCAGAATATCAGTCTGTCCCTGATGTTTTTCCTGGAGAGAAGTGGCTTCTTTGCTGCCCTTCTTGACAACAGGCCATCCTCCAAAAGTCTTCGCCTCACTGTGCGTGCAGATGCACTCACACCTACCTGCTGCCATTCCTGAGCAAGCTCTGCACTGGTGGTGCCCCGATCCCGCAGCTGAATCAACTTTAGGAGACGGTCCTGGCGCTTGCTGGACTTTCTTGGGCGCCCTGACGCCTTCTTCACAACAATTGAACCGCTCTCCTTGAAGTTCTTGATGATCCGAAAAATTGTTGATTTAGGTGCAATCTTACTAGCAGCAATATCCTTGCCTGTGAAGCCCTTTTTTGTGCAAAGCAATGATGATGGCATGTGTTTCCTTGCAGGTAACCATGGTTAACAGAGGAAGAACAATGATTTCAAGCACCATCCTCCTTTTAAAGTTTCCAGTCTGTTATTCTAACTCAATCAGCATGACAGAGTGATCTCCAGCCTTGTCCTCATCAACACTCTCACCTGTGTTAACGAGAAAATCACTGACATGATGGCAGCTGGTCCTTTTGTGGCAGGGCTGAAATGCAGTGGAAATGTTTTTGGGGGAATAAGTTCATTTTCATGGCAAAGCGGGACAATTAATTGCAATTCATCTGATCACTCTTCATGACATTCTGGAGTATATGCAAATTGCCATAATCAAAACTAAGGCAGCAGACTTTGTGAAAATTAGTATTTGTGTAATTCTCAAAACTTTCGACCACGACTGTAGAATTGCCCAGTATCGAAGGCTTGGCTTGACAATCTCCGAATGTCATTAAACTTTTTGGTGTTTTGTAACAGATGTCTCTTTCCATTCATCAATTGACCGCTGCACAGTTTGGATTGATTGATTTTATTTGTTAGTAAAAAAAAACATACTTATAAACACAAACATATTTTAAAAATGAACGCGATTGCACAATAAAGACGGGGACTTATTTCCGTTGTGGTCACTATTTTTTATAAATAAATACATATACAATTACATAGATACAGACAAAAAAATTATCTACCTCCAGACGAGTATGAGGGGGGAGTTTAAGTACAATTCTTACAAGTTTGTTTGGCTGGTAGTTTATTCTTTAGATGTTTGGGGCTGCTGGTGAATCATGACGTGAAGGCATAATCAAAGCGATACTCCAGTCTTTAAATAAAATAAATAAATATGCCATTTAGCAGACGCTTTTATCCAAAGCGACTTACAGTCATGCGTGCATACATTTTTTGTGTATGGGTGGTCCCGGGGATCGAACCCACTACCTTGGCGTTACAAGCGCCGTGCTCTACCAGCTGAGCTACAGAGGACTACTTTAGGGTGTCTATAGCTAGGTTTCCATCCAATTGGCGACAGATTCTCATGCGAATATTCTAAAATCTAAGCCTATAGGCTTAGCTGTCCACTGTATTAATATTGGAATAAATATACAGTACCAGGGTTTTTCTTTATTTTTACTATTTTCTACATTGTAGAATAATAGCGAAGACATCAAAACTATGAAATAACCCATATGGAATCATGTAGTAACATAAAGTGTTAAACAAATCAAAGTAGCCACCCTTTGCCTTGATGACAGCTTTGCACACTCTTGGCATTCTCTCAACCAGCTTCATGAGGTAGTCACCTGGAATGCATTTCAATTAACAGGTGTGCCTTGTTAAGTTAATTTGTGGAATTTCTTTCCTTCTTAATGCATTTGAGCCAATCGGTTGTGTTGTGACAAGGAAGGGGTGGTATACAGAATATAGCCCTATTTGGTAAAAGACCAAGTCCATATTATGGCAAGAACAGCTCAAACAAGCAAAGAGAAACAACAGTCCATCATTACTTTAAGACATGAAGGTCAGTCAATCCGGAACATTTCAAGAACTTTGAAAGTTTCTTCATGTGCAGTCGCAAAAACCATCAAGCGCTATGATGAAACTGGCTCTCATGAGGACCACTGTGTCTTTGTGAGACGCAGTGTAGGTGAACGGATGATCTCCGCATGTGTATTTCCCACCGTGAAGCATGGAGGAGGAGGTGTGATGGTGTGGAGGTAATTTGCTGGTGACACTGTCTGTGATTTATTTCGAATTCAAGGCACACTTAACCAGCATGGCTACCACAGCATTCTGCAGAGATACGCCATCCCATCTGGTTTGGGCTTAGTGGGACTATCATTTGTTTTTCAACAGGAAAATGACCCAACACACCTCCAGGCTGTGTAAGGGCTATTTGAACAAGAAGGAGAGTGATGGAGTGCTGCATCAGATGACCTGGCCTCCACAATCACCCGACCTCAACCCAATTGAGATGGTTTGGGATGAGTTGGACCTCAGAGTGAAGGAAAAGCAGCCAACAAGTGCTCAGCATATGTGGGAACTCCTTCAAGACTGTTGGAAAAGCATTCCAGGTGAAACTGGTTGAGAGAATGCCAAGAGTGTGCAAAGCTGTCATCAAGGCAAAGGGTGGCTATATTGAAGAATCTAAAATATATGTTGATTTGTTTAACACTTTTTTGGTTACTACATGATTCCATATGTGTTATTTCATAGTTTTGATGTCTTCACTATTATTCTACAAGGTAGAAAATAGTAAAATAAAGAAAAACACTTGAATGAATAGGTGTGTCCAAACTTTTGACTAGTAGTGTAGATATACAGTGCATTCGGAAAGTATTCAGACCCCTTAACTTTTTCCAGATTTTGTTACGTTACAGCCTTATTCTAAAATTGATTAAATAGTTTTTTT